TGGTACTTCCAACACTTTGTTGAATAGGAGTGGTGAGAGTGGGCATCCTTGTCTAGTTTCTGTTTTTATCATCCATTCAGGATGATATTGGCAGTGGGCTTATCGTATATGGCTTTAATTATGTTGAGTTACTTTCTGTCTATGTCTAACTTGTAGAGAGTCTTTATCATGAACGGATGTTGAATTTTGTCAAATGCTTTTTCAGCATCAATAGAGATGATCATGTGGTTTTTGTCTTTGCTTGCTTACTTTTATTAACATGGTGTATCACATTTATTGATTTGTGTATGTTGAACAAACCTTGCATCCCTGGGATGAATCCCACTTGACATGGTGTATAATTTTCTATATGTGTTGCTGTATTCTGTTAGCTAGTATTTTATTGGGGATTTTTGCATCTATATGCATCAAGGATATTGGCCCGTAGTTTTCTATTTGTGATGCATCTTTGTCTGGTTTTGGAATCAGGTTGATATTTGCCTCTTAGAATGAGTTTGGGAGAATGGCCTCTGTTTCAATCTTTTGGAACAGTTTATAGAGAATTGGCATCAGTTCCTCTTTGAAGATCTGGTAGAACTCTGCAGTGAACCCATCAGTCCTGGGCTTTTCTTTGTTGGGTGCCTTCTGATAACAGCTTCAATCTCTTTTATTGTTATTGTCTGTTCAGATTTTCTGTATCTTTTTGCCTCAGTTTTGGTAGCATGTATGCAATCCAGAAATTTATACATTTCCTCCAGATTTTATCCAGAAATTTATACTGTATCTTTTTGCCTCAGTTTTGGTAGCATGTATGCAATCCAGAAATTTATACATTTCCTCCAGATTTTCAAATTTGTTGGCATATAGATGTTTATAGTAGTCTCTAATGATTCCTTGTATTTCTGAGGTGTCAGTTGTAATATCACCTTTTTTATTTCTAGTTTTTGTTATTTGGGTCTTCTCTCTTCTTTTCTTCGTCTTGTTAAAGGTTTGTCGATTTTATTAATCGTTTCGAAGAACCAGCTTTTTGTTTCATTGATCTTTTGTATTGTTTTTTGTGTTTCTCTTCCATTTAGTTCTGCTCTGATCTTAATTATTTCTTTCCATCTACTAACTTTAGGTTTGAATTGTTCTTGTTTTTCTAGATCTTTAAGGTGAAGTGCTAGGTTATTTATTTGTCATTTTTCCATTCTTCTGAAGTAAGCATTTAATGCAGTAAATTTCCCCCTTAAAACTCTTTTGCAGTATCCCACAGGTTTTGGTAAGATGTGTCATTATTTTCAAGATATTTTTTGATTTCCTGTTTAATTTCTTCTTGAACCCACATGTCGTTAAGTAGAATTTGTATAATTTCCATGAGTTTGTATAGTTTTCAGAGTTCCATTTATTATTGATTTCTAATTTTAATCCATTGTGATCAGAAAACATGGAATAATTCCAATTTTTTTGAATTTGTTAAGACTCACTTTGCGACCTACCATGTGGTCTATCCTGGAGAATGTTCCATGTGCTGATGAGAAGAATGAATATTCTGAGGTTGTTGGGTGGAATGTTCTGTTGATATCTGCCAAATCCAATTGGTCTAAAGTATTGTTTATATCTTGTGTTTCTCTGTTGATTTTTTGCCTAGATGATCTGTCCAGTGATGAGAATGGGGTGTTCAGGTCCCCCACAATTATGGTGTTAGTGTCTATTTGTTTCTTTAGATCTAATTAGTGTTTGCTTTGTAAATCTGGCTGCTCTGACATTAGGTGTGTATATATTTACGATTGTTATGTCTTCTTGATGGATAGATCCTTTTATCATTATATATTGGCCATCTTTATCTCTTTTAATGATTTTTGCTTTAAAGTCTATTTTATCTGATATAAGAATAGCTACTCCAGCTCGTTTTTCATTTCTACTTGCATGATATATCTTTTTCCATCCTTTCACTCAGTCTACGTGGGTCTTTACAGGTCAAGTGAGTCTCTTGAAGACAGCATATTGTTGGGTCCATCTTTTTAATACAGTCAGTCAGTCTGTGTCTTTTGAATGGGGAATTTAGTCCCTTTATATTCAGAATTATTATTGAAAGGTGTTGATTTACTCCTAGCATTATACTGATATTTGTTTAGATGTATTAAGTATCTTTTGTTCCTTTCTTTCTAATTTTCTGTTTGTCTTCCGTATTTGTTGTTTTCTTGGGGTGATAGATAAAGTATTTTTTCTCTCTTTTGTTAGCATTATTGTTTTGCTGGTAGGTATTGTTCTTTTTTGTTGATTCATGGGAGTGATGGTTGTTTTTGTGGTATCAACCCCAGTCCTTCCTTGAGAATTTCTTGTAGGGCTCGTCGTGTAGTAGTGAACTCCTGCAGTTTTTTTTTTTTTTTTTTTTTTGTCTGAGAAATATACTATTTGTCCTTCATTTGGGAAGGATAGCCTTGCTGGGTAAAGTATTCTTGGCTGGCACTTTTTGTCCTTTAGTGTTTTGAATATATCATCCCATTCTTTTCTGGCTTTTAGAGTTTCCGATGAAAAGTCTGATGTTATTCTGATTGGGGCTCCCTTATAAGTGACTTGCCACTTCTCTCTTGCAGCTTTTAAGATTCTCTCTTTGTCTTTGATTTTTGTCAGTTTGATTATCACGTGTCTTGGTGAGGACCTTTTTGGGTTGAATGTGTTTGGGGATCTTTGGGCTTCCTGAATCTGGGGATCTGTGACTTTCCCTATACCTGGGAAGTTTTCTGCTAGTATCTCATTGAGCATGTTTTCAATGCCATTTCCTTTTTCCTCCCCTTCTGGAATACCCATGATTTGGATATTTGAGCGCTTAAGGTTGTCAGTTATCTCTCTTAAATTTTCTTCAATTTTTTAAATACTTTTTTCTGGTCTGCCTGTGATAATTCAAATAGCCTGTCTTCAAGGTCAGAAATTGTCTCTTCTGCTTGTTCAAGTCTGCTGGTTAAACTCTCTGTTGTATTTTTTATTTCGTTGAATGAATCCTTCACAAGCTCAGCTACATTCTTTTTCAAGGTATTGATTTCTTTGTACATTTCTTCTTTCAGATCCTGTATATTTTTTCTCATTTCATTGTGTTATTTCACTGAGTTTTCTTTTATCTCATTTAGTTTCCTTAGAATAGTTACTCTATATTCCTTGTCTGTCATTTCAAAGACTCCTTGTTCTATGGGATCTAGCACTTGTACATTATTAATTTTCTTTGGTGGCCATGTACTTTCTTGATTTTTCATATTTCTGGTTTCTTTGTTGTTTTGTCATTGTGGCGAGGGGTATCGCGGTTCACTCGTTTCACCCTGATGTCTGGCTTGGATCCTGAAGGGTCTTTTGCTTCTGGACAGCAGATACTAGCTTGGACTGGAAGTCCTGCCCCACCTGCCTTCAACAGCTTGTCAGGATCGGGGCTTGGGAGCCTGTGCCTCTCAGGTCTCTCGCAGAGATGGACAGCCTGGGCCACAGTCCCATGCAGCCTGCATTCACCAGCTCATCTGACTCGGGGCTTGGGATCCCGGAGCTTCTCAGGTGTTCACAGAGACAGGACAGCCTGGGCCGAAGGTCCCACCCTTTTCGGCTTACCTGGCTCAGGGCTTGGGAGCCCAGAGCTTCTCAGGTCGCTCACGGAGATGGGACAGCCTGCTCTGGAAGTCCCAGCCCGGCCTTGCTTGCCTTCTCTGTCCGGCAGGCTCGGGGCGTGTGGGCACAAAAGCTCTAAAGTCTCTCTACTAAATGGGGAGCAACCTGAACTGGGGTCCTGCGGCAAGCAGCTCCTGTCCGTTCCAGCACAGATTTCCGGTCCTGTGTTGCTGCTTCTCAAAAGCTACAAATTGGTCACTCTGTGGGAGAGAGCGACACCAGGAACCGACTACTCCACCATCTTGACCCCTCCCACCCGGTGTCCAGTTTCTATAATACTTTTTGTATTTTATCCACAGTAGCCCTATGAAATAGGTGGAGGTATTATTTTCCTTTTTTCTTTCCATAGGCAAGGAAGCTGTGGCTCAAAGAATATAAATTATTATCCCAAGGCAAGTACTTGGGATAGCTAAGTCATTTGACTCCTAATCTCAAATTTAGTTTAGATATATGCCATCAAAACTGGAGCATGATAAATATATACACATACCATCAATTCCCTCACTTGATGGTGACAGGCAATATCCCAAGATGCGGCCTCTAGATTAAGCTGACTGGGTCTTCCCATGTGGGATTGATCCTGGGAATTCTTGAGGGACAATTAGTGCTGGCTGCCAGCTTGTGGCCCTGCTGAGGGCTTCTGCACCCAGGAACCAGTTAATGGAATGATTCTAACCAGTGCCAAGCTGGGCTATCTCTATTACTCTTGCTTTTTAACCTGAGGCTGTGAAACACATTCCAGCCATCAGAAGAAGGTTCCTTTTCCTGCAAAGCCCAACCAAATCATCTCTAGGCTTAGTGACTTCAGTGTGTACCTGTCAAATCGCAAACATGTCCCAGGCTCTGGTTGTTGTTTACTGTAACAAGTACTGTTGAGCCAGTGTTGTACAGCCAGCGCAGGAAAGTGCTGCGGAACCGAAGCACTGTCCTTAATGTCAGATCATTTATAGTCCAACAGGAGATTAGACACGTGACTGCCAAAATGAGCAGTGCAGTTGATAACTGCTCAGTTCAGATGATTATGGGCTGGACTAAACGATGAACTTTTCGTTTACTTTAATTTTGGTAATTGCTGTAAGTAAAAATGTAGTTTTTTTTATTCTTGTGTTTGAAATAGTGTATTGGTTTAGGTTTTTCAAAAAATTATAATTACAGTGTTCAGTACTTTCATTGTTTAATCCTCTGTTGGGAGGATTTCTTATATTTTGTTTATATGGAAGCAAGTTTTATTATATTTTATTTTGGCATAAGTAAGGTTTCTATTTCTATTTCAGAACGATACTGAGAACAGCCATGAAGAGAAAAAAACCACTAGCTAAAATTGCTTAATTTCAGTGAGAGAAATAATGCTCACTTGATATTTTACTTTTATCCTTGTTTTCTGTCAGGGGTGAAAGCATGTCTACAGAGAAAAGTGTGTGAACAGGAAGAAAAATATGAAATTCCTGAAGGTCCACAGAGAAGCAGGCTTAACAGAGAACAGCTGGTATTTTTCTTTTGTACTACTTTCATTGTTAAATTCCTGAAGGTCCACAGAGAAGCAGGCTTAACAGAGAACAGCTGGTATTTTTCTTTTGTCCTACTTTCATTGTTCTCCTTAACAGAGAACAGCTGGTATTTTTCTTTTGTACTACTTTCATTGTTCTATGACTCAGTATTATCATCACCATCAGGAAAAAATTCTGCCCTTTCAACAAGTACAGGTGACTGATTAAAATTTTAATTGTGCTTATTTCAAGCACTTGATTCTGAAAGATGATCATGATGAGCAGTAAAATCAAGAAGGTAATAATTTCATACTGTTAATGGATTTTTGGCATCTTGAACATTCCCATAAACCTCTCAGTGTCTGAGGTAAATCTCAGATACAGGAAGTAACTTGAAAGAAGACTTACAGCTGCTGCTCGGATTTAGTTACCATATGCCTTTATTGCCACATATTGCAGTTTTAATGGATAATATTCCATTATTCTGTTGAGATATATATTAGAAGTGACAAGGAAGAATCTTCATAGAAAGGAATTGTGAAACTTTTTTCCATAAAGCACCCAGAAGTGCGTATCATAGCTAATTGGATCCCTAGCCATGTCTTCATAGTCTGTTGAGACCCCATTGAGTACATCTCTGAACCCTGGAGGCCACACTCTCACTGTGGCTGGCCTGGAGACCTTAGGTTGGTAATATATAGGGTCCTGAATATGCATAGACAGAATTGGATTAAGGTCCATAGAAATGATGTCACTCTTGTAATTTAGTTAAGTGTAGCTTGTTGTCCCTGAAGCATGTTTCATATACCCTGAGACTTCTTGGGGCTTTAAGTCCCACCAAACATGCATAAACATCCTGATAAAAGAAGTTTGATGAACAGTTTTTTTTCATTTGTTTTTTTTTTTGTTTGTTTTGATTTTTAATACAAAGCACACCTAAAATCTTAGAAGAGTGAAAAGGAACCAAGGTGGTGTCTGAATCTTAGGGAAAAAATTGCAAATAGGAAAGAAATTCTTATTTGCATAAGTATTTTTCTTTATCTAATTAGTTCACTTGAAATACAACTTCTCCCAATACCTCATTAAGTAGCCTTCTTAGCTGTTCTATTATTTTTATTTCTCTTATTTATATGCAGTGTTTTTAAATATTTTTATCTGCTTTTAACAAGTTTTTTGTTGTTGTTCTTTCAGTTGCCAAAGCTGTTTGATGGATGCTACTTCTATTTCGGGGGAACCTTCAAGCACCATCCAAAAGACAATCTTATTAAGCTCGTCACTACAGCCGGGGGCCAGGTTCTCAGTAGAAAACCCAAGCCAGACAGTGATGTAACTCAGACCATCAATACAGTTGCGTACCATGCCCAACCTGACTCTGATCAGCGCTTCTGCACACAGTATATCATCTATGAGGATTTATCTAATTATTGCCCAGAGAGGATTCGGCAGGGCAAAGTCTGGATGGCTCCTTCAAGCTGGATTATAAACTGTGTGATGTCCTTTGAGTTGCTGCCTCTCACCAACTGAATATCGTACCAGGAGAACACTTCAAATGGAACTTGCATGGTTTGTGAGAAGCCAGCCATCGTGCTGTTTTCAATATTCACACTTTTAAAAATAGGTAGAGTTATTCATATTTTTTCTTTGAATTAAAAAAAAAATCTTCTGCCAGATTAGGAATTCACTCTTTATTCACCGTTTAGATGCTAGAATTGCTTTTAAGGGTTTTTCTTTTTAAAACTGGCAGCATATGTTTTTTGATTCATCATGTTTTTCTATTCAAATTATCAGCTATCAAAGATTAATGAGAGGGTATCAGAACTGTTAAATATACAAGTGGTATTATTACTGGTTCAGCATTGTAATGTTCTTTGATGGAAAAAATCCACACCTGCCACCAACAAAAATACTTGCCATCCTTTAGTAAACAGAGAATATTGTCAGAAAATCTATTCTGGCTTTTTTGTAATGAAGAGAGTACCTGGTCTAAATGTGCTACCATAGGTGTTAAATTCTTCTCTTATCTGCCACTATCTTTATCTTACTTTGTGATTTTTTAGTTTCTTTAATTTACGTGGGTGTCTGTTCCTACATTTTCATTCTTTTAAAAAAATCTTGTGTATTCATCAGAAAATCATGATTTGAACCTTAGCACTATTGTTTTGGATGGTAAAAAAATCAACATTGGGTTCATGCTACATATTTTTATTGTATGCATTTGCTTATTGTTAATTATCAATTTTTAACTGTTTACGACATATGTACATATATACGTAGATCATTTTCTCTAACATATTTTAGTATTAATATTTCTTAGAAGGTCTCACTAGTCTAGCAAATGCCAATCAGATGTTAATATGAGATTAAGAAGCAGTCTTTTTAAAATTGACCTTGCTAGGTATTGCCAAAATAACTTTTGAAGGTCATAATTTCTTGCTTTGTAAAGTTTAAGATTTTAGGTTGGCGTGGAGGCAGAAATTGGAGATCACTTGATTTAGAACAGATTTTTTCCAGATTATACAAAAGGCCATAACAGTAAGTGCAGAGGTAGGAGTGGGAAGGTTGACTCCTAATGCCAAAATAGTCAAAGTCATGAGTAGTGGATAGGACATCACCTGAGAATGGCCAGACATGAGGAGGTTACTTTGGTCTGAGTGTTCTCACTTGTGAATTGACAAGGATAGATTAAATAATTCTAAAACACTTTTTCAGAAGCAAAATTCTTTAATAACTTCATAGAAATTGAACGTACTTGTAATATTAACGGCTTGTAGAAGGAGAAACTGTAAGACCGGGATGTTCATGAGCCAAAGAGGACAGTTTGGTAACCAGTAGGTTAGAGTATCCCTAATTTTAAAATATGGAGAGTCCATGAGGTTAATCTACATTTTAAGATCCACTTATTTGAAAATTTGAGATTCTGCTTATCATTTGAAAATACATTTTACTTTAATTCCTTCTATGATGTTACTTTTCCATATCAAGAAATGTATTATGTGAACAAAATAAAATACTTCTTACCCTGATCTTCCAGGGTTAATTCTCTCTGAAACACTCTATAACCAGGAATGTGTTTGTCCCACATTTCATTTTGATGGAGAATGTTGAACATCATAGCACCAAAGCATCTGTGGGGTTAGATAATATCTGGATTAAATAATTTAAGACTCTCTGAGATTTTGGTTGTCATTTTTGATTTATAACTGACTTTAAGTTACTTTCTATTTCCACATAGGTCATATTCCTAGCGAGAGGGTTTGTTTCTGTTCCTTGTATCTGAATTCCTGTTTGTAAAAACATTTTTGGGGTTTCTTACTCATTTTTCTTCATTCATTTTCTTGGTTTGTCCTTTTTCTCTTTGTGGATTTTTCCCTCCACTATTAAGCAGTTTTATTTTTGGTTTCTTTAAATATTTATTTTGACAGCAGTTGGTTTATGTTAAGCTCTTGAAACTTGTAATTGTACTTTCTGTGTAGATATACTTGTAATTGTTTTTTCAATTATAGATTCATGCTTTCTTTTTATTTACCTTAAATCATTAAAGTTATTTGTGTTTCCATACACCTCTCTTATATAAAAGGGCTTATTCTGCACTATTGAAGAATAAGACTCAACGTGACTTATAAGGATATCTTTCAGCTAACAAAAGCTTATCTTTTTGAACATTAACACTTTTTACTTAATTTTGAATAGAAATGTTTACTTTATTAAGTAAAGTACGATACTTTTACTTAGGTAGCCTCTCCCATTCTAAAAATTTTGTCTATCTTTCATCCCCTGAATGTATTTACTGTGGATATCAAGACTGTTTAGGCCTCCATACTTAAGTTATGCACCTTTGAAAGCACCTTTTTCCTGTCAGCATTATGTCACAACCCCTTCCTGCCACCTTAGCTTGTGCCCTACTGAGGATGCCTTTGGGTAACTTCACTTCACACATCTCTAATAACAGAAAAAGGAGGTTGATCTTTTCTACCTTTATTTCATAATTTGTGAGACTTATACTTTCATTATTAATACTACATGTTTGTCAAAAACCACTCACCATTTGTGTGATGGCTAAAATATTACCTCAATATTCTGCCATGAATGAAATATCAAAGACATTTTCAGAGTTTTACTGATGTGGCTACCTTTGAGTTTTTTAACAACTCTGCTTATGAAGTGATGGCTAAAATATTACCTCAATATTCTGCCATGAATGAAATATCAAAGACATTTTCAGAATTTTACTGATGTGGCTACCTTTGAGTTTTTTAACAACTCTGCTTATGAAAGTATTACATAGTTACTACAGAAGCTTTGCAAAGTACAAAAAACACAATGAAGAAAATAGTCACAAAATCCAGGGACCATAAACTGACAAATTGTTTTGTGTGGACTTGGTAATGTTAAAAAGTACATTGAACTCTGTTGAAAGGGCAGGGGTGCTTCCGTTCACCACAGACCCTGCAGTTCCTTCTCTCACTCCCTTCCATTTATTCTTTCAATTGGGCCTTAGAAACATTGATTAATCCACAACTCAGAAATTACAACTATTAACATTCTTGTCTTTTTTTTTTCCTATTTAAGCACACACATATGTAGCTCCTATAACTAAGGGATATTAAATACTATATACTTCCCATATTTTCACATGTATTTATTCTTACACACAATTTCAAATTGTTGTATCCTGTCAACAAGATATAACTTATTTAGCCAAATCCCTGCTATTGAATATCTGGATTGTTTCCATTATAGCTAAATCTGTAAAAACATCTTTATAATAAATTTTGGTGGGGAGGGACAGAGTTTCTTTAAAATGTCATGCTAACGCACCATCTGTCATTACCATCTCTACAGGATGCAGTGCACACCCTACACATTTAAATTAAGACCTGTAAGTTATGCTTAAAATATAAAAATTAGAAAATGAGCCTTAATTGATTGCTCTGATTTTCATGAGTTGATGAGACGTTACCTGGAAGGTTCTAAACACTCCAGCTTTTACAGGTTAGAAACTAACCAAAAAAAAAAAAAAAAGACCAGGCCTTTTGGTAGAGATGTTAGAGATAATCTAGCTTGTGAGGAGCTCTCATGTTAAGAGCTCCAGTGATTTGCCCGAGATTATGCCGCACGCTTCTTGTCCTTATGCTACACCACTTCCCGAGGCATGCTGTGTCTTTAAGTCTGCTATTGGCAGGCACCTTTGATCTGATGTTTCCTTGAATGGACTTACTGGACTGGTCTAGGATGAAAGAAGGGGAGATGGTATCTATCCCACTTTTGCTGTAATCCCACCTTTTACCTCAGCAGGTATTAATAATTGCTGTACTTTGGTTTTGAGACCAGAAAGAATCTTGAAATCCTTCTAGACTTTTGTTTCAGGCAGCCACAACTAATTGGTCAAGTTGGTTTATCAGCTGGAATATATTTTACCATCACTAAACTTAGCCATGCTAAGAAACTCAAGTCATTTTTGCGTGTTTGTTGCTTTCCTGTGCTGCACACCAGAAGTACGGGACATACTCCAGTCAGTAATTATGGTCCTACACAGAAGCGATTCTCAACTGGGAGACAATGTGCTTCTAGTTGGGGGTAGAAGGGAAACACACACACACATACACAAAAAAATGCTCAAAGGTTGAGAGAGTGGCAAGGAGGAATATGATTTGGATTAGCTCTCTAGGTGATTCTTGGGCCTGTACTTCCCACAGTTGCAAGTCACTGATTTAGCACCATTTATTGTCGGAATTTCCCTGTGACACAGCCACACCATTTAGAAATTGTATTTCTGATTCAACTACCTATTGCAATGCAAAATGTGTGTGTGTGTGTGTGACTAAATGTGATAATAATATGTATGTCATGTGTCCAATTCTTTAGAAATTGTATTTCTGATTCAACTACCTATTGCAATGCAAAATGTGTGTGTGTGTGTGTGTGTGTGACTAAATGTGATAATAATATGTATGTCATGTGTCCAATTCCCCAAGACACACATTTCTAAAGCTAAGGGATGTGAAGTTTGCTATTGAATATGATGTGCCTTAAAATCATCACCATTTTCATTGTAATAATCATTTCCTTCTCTCTGAGTGCAAAGTTCTGATACCCGGTGGTAAACTCAGATTATTTTTATGGGCTGTGGAAGTGATGATTAATATGTATGACGTTTAATTTATATTAAAAGAGAAGTAATACATTCTGAAATGTAAAATAAGTTGAGTTTTTTTTTTTTTTCTGTTGACCTTTCTTTGGCAGGTATGTGATAGAAAGCAGAGTAGGCAGTTGACTTTTTCAGTAAGTATCCTCTTATTTAAAGTGCTCTGCAAAGATTGATTTGCAGTTATACATATGTATTTTATCCTTTTCCTTTTTAAGAATACATTTCTGCTTTTACATTTTAAAAGGAGATTGAACAAGAGTCTGGTACTGATTTACTCAATAATTTGTACACTCATTCATTGAATATCTGTTACAAACTGACTATCAGGCTTTGTTGCTTACTTGGAGCAACCACGGTGAATAGACACGGCCACAGCCCTCAGTAGGCTTACCACACTCCAATAGGAGAGTCAAATGGATAAGCAGATGATTGCACAGGTATTGTTTTTGGCAAGGCAGGGCCAGTTATCATGTCCAGGAGGAACACCTTGTTGGAGACCTGCACACTAGTGGGCATTGCTATTTCGGGACCTGCTTCAAAGAAGTCTACATTGCTACACGTGACTCACCTGGTAGCAGAACCAACCAGTGTCTGCTCTGGACATAATCAGGTATTTTTTGGAAAGGAATCTAGGACTTTCCCAGATGAATTAATATTCACCATAATATGTACTAAACATTTTTTGATTCCCTTTGAGTGATACTTCTAGTCTTTTGCAGAAGAGAATGACACTTTATCAATATTTTATTAGAGGGTTTTCTTTAATTAGAATTTCAAGTCAGAAATAGGAAATGCAGCTTGCTGAAACCATGACTGGGAAATGAGTTTTTTGTTATGCATGTTTAATTTGCTAAGTTAGCAAATTTAATCTGAAGATAATTAAACAGTAGTTAAATCTGTCCAGATTTATTTCATCCACTTTTTAAAAATGCATTTTTTAAAATGCATGGTGGTTTTCTGTGAATTCAGATGTAGTCATTGGAAGGGAGGGTTGTCTTTTTTTTAATGTTAGAAAGGTTTTTAAAATGGAGTGTTGGCATTTAAAAACTTTCATCTTGTAGCAAAGTAATTTGTGTACATGGCTTAAAAAGTCCAATAGTGCTTTAAAAAAAAAAAAAAAAAAGTCTTCTGTACCTTCCTTAACCTCTGCCCAGAAACAACCACTTTGTACTCTTTTTGTAGTTTATTTTGGTATTTACCTTCTACATACTGTGTCTGTACTGCATTGTCTTAATTCATCCATTTTAGACATCTATTGATTTCCTATTGTGGTAGATGATGAGGTTTTTTATTTTTTCTCTCCTCCCCAGCCTCCCAATTGGTAATTTAAATCTCTTTCTGGTGGTTTTTCCATGGTGGCTGGAAATCTTTTCTCCAAGACAAACCTATACAGGTAATAGTCTAGTTTCAGTTTTTCCTGGAAATATCCCTCCTGATGCCCTCTGCCCTTCCCCTCCGTGAGGTCTGCTGCCTCACTTTCATCCTGGGACTCTCTTCTTTCCCAGATTCTGGGAGCCCCATCACCTCTCTTCTTTATGGGATTCCCTATTTTTTGCTTAACATCTATGTTTTGACGGCTTATATCCTCCCGTAGCTTTATGAAAAAGAATACAATCAGTAAGTATTTTGTCTGAAAATGGTTTTCATTCTGCCATCACACCTGACTGGCTTGGCAAAGGATTCTAAGGTGGCAATCGTTTTCCCTTAGAGTGGGGTTTTGAGAGGTGAATCAGCTTCTTGTCTGTACATCCTCTGCATGCACCTGGGTTCATCATGTTATTTTAGTGTTGTTTCAGGCAGAGGAAGGGGCAGTCAGTGGAGTAATGTCTTTAGCATCCATACTCATTCTTCTAAAAACCAGAAATTCTTATGTTTTATATGTACTTAATAAAATGGTGCTTTGGATTACTTCTGCTATTTGTAAATAACTGGCATAGTCTTGTTTAAAATTGTATAACCTGGACCTCATTTCCCATTTGTGGTTTCTGCAAGCTGCATTTCCTATTTCTGACTTGAATTCCTAATAAAAGGAAAAAAAAAAACCTAAAAAATATTAATGTTATTAATATTTTATTAATAACAATGAAACACAAAATGTTATTCTTTTCTGTAAAAGACTAGAAATATCACTCAAGGGAAATCAAAAAATATTTAGTTAATATTTGACAAATTAAGGCAAGTTAAGCCCAAAACAATGGCTGGAGGCAACTTGCTAACAAAACTTAGTAAGCATTTTTTTTTTTCACCCAAATGAGATTTGGGCTCGTGAATGATGATTGTAAATAATAGAATCATCCCCTGCCCAGAAAAAGGCCACTGATTCTATCTAGTATCCTATATACAAAATATCAGTACATTCATAGTTACTCTTTTTAGCAGCAAGACTTCTTATCTCATATTTCCTGGCCAG